GTGGAGAGATAAGATCACAGTTTGGCCAGTCTGAAGTTCAATAGGTTTTGCCACCTTTGTTACAAGTATCTTTTAAAGATTCTAAAAGCTAACAGCTCACTTGATCTCTAGTCATCTGTGTCTTGGCTGTATTGACTTATCTAAGTGACAATATTGTTTCTCTCAGTGTAATGTTATTTTCTTGAGGGATATCAAGAAAGAGTGATTACAGAAGGAGAGAGCTGTAAATTACATACACAATCCCACATTGTATATGCAAAGCAAATTTACCCTCAGAACGATTAAAACATTTAAGTAATTAAACTGATTTGATATAAATGCTGCCTACACTAGTCATTATATATATGTATCATCAAATCAGAGAGGAAAATAACCACAACCCATGGCCAAGAAACAAAAAAATAAGTTGTATCTGCCATTTTGAGAGACTATGTAGGGTTGTCAATTTATATTAGTGAAACAAGACTTTTTGGAAATTCTATGTGAGCTGACTACTGTGGTAAAAAATCTGAAAAATGCTGTTACAAAGAAGTAGAGGGTTTAAAACATGTTTCTTCTTTTCACATTATACTGAGATTCAGTTTGTCTTCTCTCCACTGGTTACCTTCAGGCCCTTTCTGTTTCTGCTCCACCTCCTTGCGGTATTCCTCCAGCTCCTGGTCGGTGAGTTTGGTGAAGGGGTTGGGACCCTGCTTGCTGACGATAACCTTGGGCTGGTACTCCTTTTCGATGATGGCCTTGGACGCGGTCACTAGCTCCCCCTTCAGGAGACACAGAAGGAAGGCAGAAAGAGATGAGACATCACTGCAAGGTAGACAACAAGTTACTGCAGGTTAAACATGGAAGGATTTAATATATTTAAAAGCTAGTCGCAGTGTCTATTGCTTGCAGAAAATCTCATATAGTTAAAAAAACATGAACAGGCAGTTTACACACATAGCTAATTATGCAGCATGAGCAGAAGTGTCAGCCACAGATGAATAAATGTATCTTCAGGCCATTTCAAAATTCAGGAAGCACGCGTTATGTTAAATAACAGTTTACTTTAATTATATTAGGAAAGAGCAGCATTTTTCCTTTTTCATTCCATACATTAAAACTGCTACACAAAAGCAGAGCACTGACAGATGTGAGAAAGCCAACAGTACATCACCAGGCACACAATAGCCAAGGTGAATCAAAATAAAGCTTGACTGCAGTAAACTAACAGTCAGCAATAGCTGTGTTCTTCCACTTACTCTTTCAAAGACTTTTTTTTTAAATTCTGAACAATGCATGCAGCAAACACCAGCATCACTGGATCTAACACCTGCCCTCTTCACTGCCCACTTCAACTTGCAACAATGCGTTTTGAAACAATGGTGAATGGTGAATCTCTCCTGCAGACAAACTCATTATATAAATCTTTCACCTCAAGGACCCTAGGTGGCACTAACATTAAATTCAGGCTCTAGGGTGCATAAACATGTAGGAAATACAACTATAGGTCACAATAAGGAGGAAAAAAAATGGCCTCACTCTAGCACTGCTATTTACTTCATCTATACAGGCCCAGACATAGTGCCTATCTGCAGGCTCAGAGAAATGACTGGCGGATGATGTGAAGTATAGGTGAATAGTATTTGTGACTGGAGCAGTAAGTACCTTTCTAATTGATTTAGCAGGACTATAGGACCCCTCGGACACATCGAGGCCATCAATAGTGTCTGTACAGTCAGACAGAGGGGCGTCCTGCAATGGTAAACCCAGTGAGGGGCACAACCCAGCTCTTAAAAACACTAGCACATTCAAAACAAGCAGTCCGTCAGGCAGGCATGAATGTGTGTAGACATTCAGGAACACACCACCTTCCACACACACACAAAGGTGGAAAGAGTACTAGGATATCTCACTCAAATACAAATAGTATGAGTTAAGTAATACTCGGGAGATGTGAGGCCTGCTTCTCAAGCCAATTTCTTAACATGATTATAACTATTTCAATAAGAATACACACTTAAAAAAGCAAGTAAGTCCTGATTATAAAAAAAAACAACAAGAACTGCAGGCGTACCTGTAAATCGGCTTTATTAAAAAAAAAAAAAAGGTAAACTGTGTAAGATCTTGGTAAAAGCAGGGTTAATTGTGATTGTTGTTGATTTACTTTCCACCTCTGCATACACACATACACAAACATCGTGCATGCACTGAGAGATGGTTCTGGAAAGAGATGTGGGGATGTGAAAAGCATTGCAGTGATGCAAAAGCGAAGATCATGCGTTGTAAAGACAAACTATCCACACAGGGGGTGCTATACACTGTGTGGTTCATACAATCTGAGTCTTTACAAAACAAAAGCACATCAAGGACTCCTTTGGTCTTACTACTGACATGCTGGGTCAAGTTTTAGGTACCCATAGGTACCCCAAAAATTGGTTAACAGATATCTGTTTTAATTTGCTGAAGTCCTGCTCAATGTGGTTAAATGTCCAGGAAGCTTAATAAGTGGCAAAATTGAGCTAAGCAAAGGGAGGGCAAACCATGCAAACTGAACTCAAAGTTAAAACTTTGAAGCAGTAAAACATGACTATGTTAGACTATAGTGGGGATTTAGTTAAACATTGCAAAAGACCAAAATGACCAGCCTGCAAGTGCTGAGATAAAAGTCTCAACTCTGAACTACTGTAAAGAGAAGGCAAAAAAAAACACGAAGAAATGAAGAAAATATAATGAATATGGACATAACCTGAGCTGGCAGGTTTGGAGAGTAGAGTGAGGTTACCTCTCCCAAAACACTACTCACCTGCCAGATTGACAATCTCTGTGGTCAAAGAATAATGTGTCAGTTACAAAGTCACCCTGTGCTCTGGGACACAACGTGGAGGACATGTTTTGCTGTCTGTTATTATTAGTGGTGAAGTTACTTTTGATGTCAGATCAGATTATGATGAATAGGTTTTGCTTGCAACCAATTTCTTTCATTAAAACTTAGTGTCCAGGAACAACTTCACGCACAATATTCACACTTTGCAGCATTCTGGTTTAAGGGGGGACTCCAGACCTGGACAGAATATATATTATGATTATTTATTTTTATTTTTTTTAATTTAAATGTATTTAAAATGAATAAAATAGACCAAACTTAAGTGTTTCATAGTATGAGACACATATTCATCTCCAGGTCAGGATAGCTGTGGAAGCAGCAAGGTTTTTGTGTGTTAAGTTCGCACACTGACCTGGTTAAAGGAACGTTCCACCATGGTGCCAGCACACAGAACCTGAGACTGGGGCCCTGCTGTCTTTATGTCCTGCAGGTTCTGCTCCCGGATCTACAAAAAAAATAAACTTTTATGTCATAAAAGAAGGATAAACGTGCATCAGGAGCTTTAAATTGTCCTTGTCTCACAGAAGTAAAAGGCAGTAAAAGCAAAAATATTTGATACCTTATTCCTCATTTCCAGGACGTCTTTAGGGTTGGTGTTCATTGGGATGAACTGATTGGCTACAGCAGCCTGGCGGAGTCCGTCTTCTTTTGTCCACTGTAAACACCACATAAAGTGTTAAAAAAACAACTAAAACCAAATATGCTGAATGTCATGAAAAGCCAAACATAAAAAATAGATTTAGACAAAATACTATGCAGGCTTCACAATACAAAGAGTCATGCTGAACTGAAAAGGACAAAGTTGGATGGCTGTAAAAAGGCTTGAATGTAAAAAGTGAACCAATGATGATGAGGCACATTTAGGAAAATAAGTCTAAGAATCATTTATACTTTTATAAATTTAGTTGGGGACTGTTCAATATCATTACCTATATCACCTCTACTTATCCGATGATATTAGTATTTCCTCCAGTAATGAGGGTTGATATCATCTAACTCTAGCATGTTTGATTTGTGCAGGGAGGTTAAACACCAACCGCAACAGGGACTCAATTGATCTAAATGGAGAGTATCAGGGCTGTCCTGATATATGTTACATGATACATGATACATGTTTTGCTATACCAAAAAAACTCTTGCAAAGAGCTGAAATATTATTAAAATGTATAGGTTATGCACCTATTTCTGCACAAAATAGCTAGCTGTGGTATTTCTGCAATAGATTTTTTTTTACATTCATCCATAAGTGTTGAAGCTAAAACACTAGAAACTCCCAGATGAACCTGCACAAGGCTGCTGGAAGTAAGAAGTGAAATCACAGTTGACCTTGTGAATGTTAAACAACAGAAACAAATGTTTAAAATGTGTGCTTTTACATACTGTCTGCTATCTCTTAGTACATTTTTGTACAAAGGAGCTGCATAATGTATTCATGAGCAAGAGTTAATGTATTTTAATAAGTACAACCTGACAGGTTCTAGGGGCACACAGAAAGAAGATATTGTGTTTTAAAATCCATCACATGGGTATACGTCATTTTTGGTTTAATACTTAATATTGAGATGATCAGTGCTCAGTCAGAAAATGATGGAAAGACCTTGTGCATGACAACAGGATAAGATGCAGCAACTAAAGCTAACAGTGTATTTATACTACCTAAATCCATTTGTCATCATCATTGATGTACCATTAGAATCAAAAACAAACCGAAGGGGCACACTGGAGATCAACTGAAAACATCACAGAATGAGAAAAAAAGTGGCAGGGGTAAGGGAGGGAGAAGTGAGGGTGGTGGCAACAGGTGAAGGAGAGTGAAGGGATGGCTGGGTGGGTGACTGAGATGATGAGTCTGGCTTACGAAGCGAGAGTGGCAGTGAGGGGGTGAGCTGGCATCACCAAAGTCATTTCCCAGGCTGATACACAACAACAAGGACGACAGAGATGAGAGAAAAACACACCCGAGGACACTCGCCCACGTTGGGACAGAAAAAGCCATTGTCACAACGCTACAGACTAAGACAAGAGTGTATCGTTCCTATAGAGGATGAAACCCTTTATTGTATTGTTAACTGCTATTTTCCTCTTAATCTGAAACAAATACCCCCATTTACTTTTCAGTGTTTTACTTAAACCTGGTAATGCTCAGCATGATTGAAGGAAAAAAAAGTTTGTACCCATTTCTTGCACCAAACTGAATGAGCAGCGGGTGAATATATACACATCAAATCTTCAGCTTTCATGCAAAATATTTTGTTTAACCAATTTAAACTAGGCATGTAAGTCGCAGTGGAAAGCGTATGCTCATGACTTCATTCCTGTTTAATTTAAGCTTGGCTGGTTAGCTGCATAAAACAGGGGCTAGATGAGGAAGGGTTTTCTGGATGGAAGTAGCTGGGTTGGGTTGGTTGAGTATGAGATGAACATGTAAACACGATATACTCACTGAGAAAGAGTCTCACAACACAACATTTCCTACTTTCCCAACAGGAGATAATTGATTTAAAAGTCAGATCAAATTCCATGTTTTGTTTTGTTTTCTGTTTTTTTTTTTCTTCAAACAAATCCACTCATGCAGGCCTTGAGGTGTTCAAAACAATTTGAACAACCAGAAACTAGAAAGAGTAAAAATAATAGAGGAAACAGAGACATACAACTGGGAGCAGTTGAAAGTGTTTGAAAGAAATAAGAATTAGAAAAGCAGGCTGCATAACTCTTTTGCCAAGGAAATTTTGCTTAGCTGTTTTTCTTATCAAATGTCTATAATGTATCTGGCATTTTTCTGGATTCTCAGTCAGAGACATGCCACCTCTGTCATTAACAGGCAAGGAAATCTTATTAATACCCTTTGTGAGCAAACACACACTTCAAAGGTTTTAACTGATATAGCCTCAAATATCACTGCACTTGCTTTATCCTCTTCACTTATTCATGTTTGAGCAACTAAGCTAACTTCAAGATGCAAAGACAAAACTAAGAACGTGTGCTACTTCGGGGCGGTGAGCGACAGAGTGTTTAGCAGCGACGTCACCGGGTCTTTCCACATTCACCTTGCCCACTTGGGGACTCATGCCACACCCCTGCTGCTCGCTCCTCTGGGGAAAACATCAACACCAACAATGCATTTCACTACTACACATGCAGTGGGGCATGCTGTAGGCAGCTGGCCTGGCATTATGAAGCATTAGGAGACCAGAAGGGAAAAAGAGCAAAGAGCGTCAATAAATAATCACAGCTGTGCTATGAATACAATTAACAGAGCAGAGTTAACTGCATTTGGAAGGTGGGTTAATAGGACATCTGAAATTACACTGCAAGTGAGCCTAAAAAAGCCTAAAAGTAGTGAAAAGCGGGATTATACTAACTTCCATTTTTTGCCTAGCAGTTATATGAAACGGCTCAATAAAAGACCATCAGAGCTTTATAGTTTACTTCTATTCCAAACTGTCTCCAGAACCTCAGGATGCCGACCACCTACCCATTTTCCACCAACAAGGTAGCTGTAAAATCTATACTATGAACAATAAGGTAGGCACAGACCAAGCAGTTGGTTATACAGCTTGGCACGCAGACACCAGACGAGAGAGACTGCAGCAAGGGTTTGACGTGATCGTGTGTTATGTTCGTCCACACCTTAGGCTTCGACTTGGGGCTGCTGCCGTCGGGCCCATCCTCGCAGGGCTCGTCGGGCCGGCCGCCGGCATTGAGCCAGCGGGTCTTGTCACGCTGGCCGCGCTGGAAGCTGTGTTTCAGCGGGGAGCGAGCACCTGAGTCACTGTCCTCGCCGTACGAGTAACCACCGTGGGCTGAGGAAGCGATCTCCACGTCACTGTACTTTTTAGCTTTGTCTCGCAATGACGGGCAGCGGTAAGGGTAGCCCGTCCTGTAGCCCTGGGAAACAGGAAGACAAACAACAACAGGGATTGGCAAGTGGTTGTTTAAAGCTACATGTACATACTATGACTATGTTTTGAAAGAGGAAATATCAAATTTTACTTCTTACAGAACATTTAATTGGATTAATTGTTAGTGTCAAGTTATTAAACAGGAGAGATCATAATACACTCCCATTCCCCTAAAAAGTTTAAAGTCTTCGTCCTCACCAAGTTGTCGAGCATTCTCATGAGAGCCTCAAACTCCTGCTCCCCGACTTGCCACTTGGGGTATGTGGAGGACCCGTCGCCGGCTGGCTCCGGGACCCGTGAACGTGCCTTGTATTTCCCCGGGTCCAGCATCACCAGATTATCTGGCCCTCCAGCGCTGGCCAGTGTTCGCACCTGAAAGAAAGTGGGGTGGGGGGGTGTACAGACAGACAAACCACAGACAGGATCCAGAATAAAGAAGGAAAATAAAATGTGGACATGAGGACATACACAAACATCGAACGTAACACATAAATACAGACATCAACATGAAGAAGAAAGATGAACATATATAAAAATGTGGAGAGACAAGGGACAAAGACAATTGTTATGAAAAATGCAGACAAACATATGGTTCCAAATATAACAACCCAAATGAAAATACACAGTTCTATTTTAAACACAATGATAATCTTTAAGAATATTTGACTGAAATAACTCCATGCACTACTGGCTATTGCCAAATGATATTTCAGGAAGTGTCCTGTATAGAGCTCACTGTGTGTCCTACCTGGATCTCACAGGCGGTGACCAAATTGTGGATGTAATAGAAAGCTTCTTCCACTGTTTCACCAACGGACACCAAGCCATGGTTCCTTAGGATGAGCACCTGGGACAGAGGAAAAATAAAAACTTAGCAAAGAACAACCAAGGACATTCTCATTTCTCCTATGTGCTTTACAAGTTATAAAATTAGTTTTTTTAACAGCTTTTATAATAAAACTCTGCTGTTACCTTGCTGTTAGGCCCCAGGTTCCTCTGTATGAGAGTACTTTCTTCCTCATCCACCAGAATGCCGTGGTAGTCGTGGTAGGCCACCTCACCTAGGGACAGTGCCTCGGGTGAGATGGGCAACAGACCACATTTCATGGCTGACACCTGCAACCAAACAAACAGAACAGAACATATCACATAAGCGTATAATATGCAGATGTCTGTGTTTGTATTCTGTATGATGACTTTGTATACACTGCCCCCTTACCGCAGCACCCGCGGGTGTGTGTACATGTACGATACACTTAACATCAGGTCGTGCAGCGTAGATGGCAGAGTGGAGTGTGAAGCCGGCCTGGTTCACCCCGAGATTGGTGCTGCCCCGGTCCACTATCTCACCTTGAAGGTTTATCTTCACCTGAACAGCAGGGCAGATAACAAGGGCTTACTCAAAGCAAATATAAGTTTGATGACTTTAGCTATAAAATCTCTGACAACATGCAGTTTATTGTCAAGTAAAGTAAGTAAAGTTCCAAGGTATTTTATCACATGAGAAGTGCGCTAATCTAAAGAGAAATAAAAACAATTGCGTCATTCACTGATGTAACAGTAGGAAGAAAACATAAGTAAAGACATGCAGTTCTAATCTGCACAGATTCTCACCAGACTGGAGGCGGTGACTTCACTGTACAGGAGGCCAAAAGGGACAATGAGGAAGCGCTCCTGGTCTGAGTTCACCCTGACCTAAAAGACCAGAGGACAGTCACGTTAGATTACAGTTTTACATGGCAATTGGCTCTAATTGAATTGAACCAATTGATTAATCAAAGGCTGTTGGCCATCACAAAAGCATTTTCTGAAAGCCCATAAAGAGTGAATGAGGAATTCATGAAATATAATGATTTGTCAATTTGTCATGCTTTTTTTCTGGTTTAATGATGCCATTACTGTTCACTTAATTCACACGAAAACACCAAAGCAAACCCTCTTATAATATACTGTAAACTTCCGAATTAGATCATCTACACACATAACATTGCACGTTATATAATTATTGGGTGACGTAAACAGGAAGTATAATGTTGCCATGGAGTCCGTTTTGGACCACAATTTGAGCTCCATTTTTTTAGCCTATACTTGTTTTCATTTTGGCAAACTGCCACTATTAAAAGTGTGCTGAATTAGCTATTTCCAGTTCCTGTTTGGAATGTACCCGTGGATGTACAGACAGCCATCACTGGGTAACTTTGATAGTGAAGGAAACATAAAAATGTGATGTTATGGAGTTCTAAGGACCATCTTTTTTCTATGAATCAGATTTAAAGATGTTTATTCAGAGAGGTCAATGGAAAGTGAAAGTCTTTCTGAATCAAAAAAAATTTATGCATCATGTCTGATAATTGGGTGCTAAGGGTTTTAAAACAGCCTCCATGAGCTGAGAGTCACATGACTGGTGCTGCTCCATCTACTGTGTTGGTCAAAATCCAATAACTAACTTCCAGTTGTTTTTACACAGCTGTTTTCAATCACCTGTCCCTTTCAGCTCATGCAGTATCTTGGCTTCCCTCTGCACTCCGTCTGACAAATTCAGTCAACATGGTAGTAGTATTATTAGTAGTATTATAAAGTTTGAAGCCCATCTTACTGTGAGGTGGTTGTAGATGAGCTCCGACCAGCCGAACAAGTCTGCGAGCCGATAAAAGGCAGCCAGCTTGCAGCGAAGCAGCTTCTCGCCTTTGTCGTAGGAAATGGAGTCTGAGCCACGCAGATCATTCACTGGAGTCACCATGCCCAAACCTGAGAGGGAGAGACGGGGTCAGACAGGAAGACACGGATTGCTTACAATAATAATAGCGAGGAGAAAGAGACACTACGAGGGCAAAACAATTAGAATCCAGTGCCCTGTGCATAAAAAGTAAGACCCATTCCTTATTCCTTGCTAGCAGGAAAGAAAAAAGTCTCACTTACAGATAATTAGACCGAGTCTGCCTACTGAAATCCAACTGCACTCTTTGTCCAAAAATTAACTCTGGCATACGCTGCATTACTCATTGTGAGCACAGACATAGCAGGGCTGGGGTCAGAAAGTCGCACACACTCATTCTCATCTCTGCTTACTCATGTTGAGCGCCGCCATGCCTCCTTGTGGTGCAGCGGGATACATGGAAGGCATGCTGGTGGTCATGAAGTCTGCGATCTGCTGCAGAGCCAACAGGCTAGTGGGCGTCTTTCCCTTCTTCAGCTGATCCTGGATCATTGTCTCCAGCTCATCGCAGAATGCCTGCCGGTCATCCACACAGACAAAAAACACCAAGACATGTAAGAGCAAACACATGGGGACACAATGATCCAAAAAAAAGGAGGAAAGGGCATAAACAGAGAGACACAGAAGTTTATAGAGCCATGGGCAAGTTTAGAACCAACATTCATATTTAGGAAATTAAACATACCGACACTAGGTTTTTGAATATTTTTAAAATTGATTTCAAACTTAAAACTTGCTTAAGACAGGTAATCCACCATGTTAGTTTTTATTACTGTCAGTATGTGATGTTGCTTTTGAGTCTAAACTGTCTTATAAAGCAATAATGTAACCATGACAAAAAGGCTGACACAGTATCTGAAAAGAAAAGTATCTCCACTTAAGTATGCTTAGTATTATACTGAGAGAGGTTTCTATGATCTTGTCCAGCCCATCTCTATCAATGAGGGCCAGTTAAATAGCAGAAACATCTCTCTGTATAATGGTATAATGCAATACAGTTCACCAACAGGGCTGTTGAATTAAACTACATTAGCTTTAACTAGGTGTAGCTAATAAACTGGCAAATTTAGTGTAATTCAACAATGTATGAGGTTGTGACACAGAGAAAGGTCATAAAAAGGTAACAGCTTGACGTCTCTCTCAGTAGTGTCCTAAACTTAATAAAGTAAAAACCTCATATAAGCACCACTCTTTTCAGGGCTTGAATACATTAGTGCTTTTCATACATACAATAGGCCTTTAAACAGTGCTGTTCTCTGGTATTCAGCTGGTCACAGACACACTGTTGATGGAGAATAAACTGGATCCATCATGTGATGTTTGGGAGGCTGCTGCCTGTACACTAAAAGAGCCTATTCACATTTTAAAATAATGGTTTAACAGCATGCATTTATCAACTGTGACCACAGTAATTTGACAGTTAATGTACAGCAAATGTAGTGTTTGCTGCTGAATGTGAATGTCTTAATGATTTAACGTGTCTGCTCCACTGACCGGGCTCTGTAGTATCATGGAGACCCTCTTCCTCTGCTCCATCATGTTGAAGTCCTGCCGCAGGTCGGGTGCCATGTTTCTCTCCCTCTGGTACTCCGGACTGCTCTCATCCACCCGGTCGAAGTACCGCTCCTTGTGGGGGGCTGTGGTGGGAGGGGGGGCCGTCACCACCCCGGCACCTGACTCGCCGTTCATCCTGGGCTGGCCTCCTATAGAGGGAGGGACGGAGAGAACTTTTGAACTTTTTCTTATCAGTGAAAAACAAATAAACACACACAGATGAAACCCTCCGTTTAGGGTGGGTTTAGGGTCTGTGCGAGGTGGGTAGGGTCAGAAAAAGCTTTATGACCATCCTTTCTCAGATGAATGATATGTTCAGGTCCTAGAAGTCAACATTTGGCCTCATTAGTTACAAAAAGTAACTGTTAATGGTAAAAAACGACCGTCTGTGCAGTGGGATGATAATGCTGCTCACCATTGTGCTGTCTCTGATGTACATGGCTTTATGTGAGCTTTTGTGGTGGGTTTTAACATATGTTTATAGTGTTTTGATATGTTTTATGTTCAAGTTATCGTGAGTTCTATATTTCACCTGGCTGCAATTTCCAATTGGGGACAGTAGATTTTATGTTAAAAGTTGCTGATTGGCCATTGCTGGAGTCAATATTTATTGTATTCATGCATTATAAACTACACCATATCAAAATGGTATAAAAAAAAATCTTAATTAGGATTGTCAGGGCCTAATACATACATTAAATAGTACATATATTTGAAGTTTGTCTATTGTCTCTTAAACGGTTTATATAAAATGATAAGGGTCTTTAAATGTAGTAGAAGTTCATATATGTCATCAATTATTAATAATAATAATAAAAAATCCCATATCAGAGAATAAGAGGCTGACAGAGGGACATCACAATTTAAATGAGGAAATGAGCATCAGCAGTCATTAGACCAGAAAGCCAATCACACAGACAACACCCTCCCGTACTTCCTGTCAAGGTCATGTGACCACTCTTCCTACCTCAGAGCATTGCTTATTGATTTCCACAATGTGTTTCCTGGAACCACAACACCACTCAACTGTCAAGGCTGGGAAAAGGAAAGTCAAACAAAAACGGCCAAAAGAATAGCCAAAGGTCTGTTGCCATTCAGCTTGAACAACATTAAAGACATTTCTAATGTATACTGTGGATCTGTATGCTCGGGGATCAATAACCAACATTTAGTTCAAGAGAGACATACACGTGTCCCCTTCAATAAACTACAACAGGGAGGAATAAGACACATAAATAGAACAGAGAGACAGATTTCCTATAGATCCATGTCAATCCAGCTGGCTGGGTGTATGGGAGGGTAAATACCCCCCGCCTGTCTGTCACAGCTCAGACTACTCAAGCACTGACTCCAAAGGACACAGACAGACTTACGAGCACAGGGAAATGTGTGTGTGCAAGCATGCATGGGTAATGGGGGGGTGGTCTGGCAGAAAGTGATGTAGCCCATTAGTCCACATCAATACAAATGTTCAGCCAAAACTACCATGACAACTGCAGAGCAAACCCAAAGCATCCAGTATCACACTGAGAGCTGACAGAGCCCCTCTCTGTTTCTGTCCGCTTTTATTGCTCTTCTGAGATTTTCCACAAGATCAAACCCAACATTTTCACAAAATCTCAGGTCACCTGGTCCAATCAAGAGTTTTTTTGTGTTTGCATGCTGTTTGGCTAATTCTAGGCCGGCAATGTTTTGTCCATTTTCACCTCATGAACATATTAAATGAAGGGAAACTAAATGATCACATAACAACACTGTAGAGAGAGCTGAAGTTAATGAGGTTAAAAGTTTTCAGACTGACTGGAAAAACTGTATCAGATAGACAGGATGTAATATCGTCATTTTATGTCTTTTTAGACTGCGTAGTCCAACTACAGTTGACATGGACCACATAGGGCTGCCCCCATAATAGCCTGTTAACTGTTAGTTGATGTTAAGAGCCTCAGTCGCCCGACTTAGTTAACTTATTAGTCCAACTCCAGTCGGCTCTTTTGACTACATTCTGTTTTCTTTGAAATTATACAATTCTGTCCTGTATAATAAAGCTCTCTCTCTAACGTTATTTATTGAGACAAATATTAACATAAAAAAAAACACACAAATTCTTACGCCTTCCATGTGTGAGGAAACTCCAACCTGTGTCCAGAGAGGAAGTAGGTGGGGTTGAGACCCACGCCTTCGTAACAACATTCACCCCCGATTTCCTAAAAACGAATCCTCTAACATTCTTCCCTTTGCTGTCTCCTCTCTGCTGTTTTCCTTGAATCATAAATGCTGTCTTAAATTGCAGTTACGACAGAAAGGATACGAAAAATATCTCTGCAAACAATCAGCGACGACAACCCAGTTGCTCTGTCGCACTCGTGTGATTAGGACATCGCCAGTTATTGACAGAAGAATAAGGACATCAGCAATTAGCCCTGGTGCCAAATACTCTCATTAGGGAGGGAGGGAGAGAGGGAGAGAGAGAGAGCGAGCCCCTGGCCTGTTATTAATACACATGTATTTCCATGCACTGCAAAAATCAGCTCA